CTTTATATTTTTGTGGAAATCATGATATAGTTTTTTACAATTCTTTAATGAACAGAGAGTTCAAAAGAACAACATTTTGTCTTTAGTGTCACTTTTGATCAATTTAATGTATCCTTGCTGAATAAAAGGATTAATTTTACTGACCTCAAAGTTTTGAACGTTAGTGTATAGTACCATAGGCTCCATTGACACGTCCACCTGTGTGTGTGTGTGTGTGTGTGTGTGTGTGTGTGTGTGCACCTGTGGAGACTCTGTTGACATGCATGTTATCAGGAGGAGATTCAGGCCACAGCTGGTGTACTGTCTGATTTAAGACCCTTCAGACAGAGCTAGAGTTTACAAGCTCCACTAAAGGAGGCTTTAAAGAGCTCGTCTGTGACCATTAAGCTCCTGAAATTCATGTACATTCCAAATGCATGATCTCTGATACTAGGTGTAGACAGGACATGACCTTTCAGCTGTGGCTCTGCTCGGCCGTACGTGGGTTTAAGACCCAATCAGAACTCTTCAGCTTATGTGATGGACCCTGCGGCCTTTCACAGAATAAGTGGAAAAGTGTGTCTGTGTGTGTGCTTGTGTTGTTGTGTAAGAGTCAAGTTTCTGAAAATTTCAATTCATTTTACATTAAAGGGTTAGTTCACCCAAAAATGAAAATTCTGTCAGTAATTACTCACCCTCATGTTGTTCCAGCCCCGTAAGACTTTCGTTCATCTTCGGAACACAAATGAAGATATTTTTGATTAAATCTGAGAGCTGGATCACTCCTCCATAGGCTTCTATTGTAATTGAAATTTGCCGGCCCAGAAAGTTAATAAAGACAATGTTTAAAATAGTCCAAGTGACTACAGTGGCTCAGCCTTAAGTTTATCAAGCGACGAGAATACTTTGTGTGCGCAAAAAAACAAACAAATATAACTACTTTATTTAACTATTCATTTTCTTCTGTGTGGGCCTCTGACATGTTTATGCTCATCTAAACATTTTTAGTTTCTGTAAATGTCACTTTCTATTGTCAATTGCGCTCATTCCTGTTGCAAGTTTTCAGTCTGGCAACGCACGTGAGCGCCGAGTCTGATGACGAGAGAAACAACCCTCACAATATTTTGAATTTGGACTGCAGTACCAATTTCAACCGCTAGTTGTCAATATTACATACTGCACCTTTAAACTGTATAATGTCCACAGGTGTTTGTGAGGGTTAAAGCCCGTTCCCACCAACCACTGTCAAGTAACCAAGTTTTGATAACCATTCTAATTCTAGGAGAATAGTGAAGGTCCATACCACCATTATTGCGATAAGGACACAGAGGAATGAAACAGAGGGTTATGTTCTGATTGATTTTGTTCAGATGATGAATAATAAAGCGTCATTAAAGAGCTCGAGCATTTAAAGCAGCGGATGACAAAACTGCAGATTGCACTTATAGATTATCGCCCATTGGTGTGGCCACTAGTTATTGTTATAGTTATTGTTTTAGCTGTGAACTGGCCTTTAGTAGTGGGTTTGCTAAAATACATATTGCTGAAAGGTCCTTACCAATACAGCTTCAAATGTCTCTGTGAGCATTAATTTAACATATTGAATAAAATGAGGGAGGGCTGGTACTCCTTAAATTCAGCCATTCAGCACTTTGTCAGAATGCACAAATACAATTACATGTAATCACATCCAAATCCCTCTCTTCCTTTCATCGCTTCCCTCTCTCTCCTCTCATTCCATAACTCTGTGGTCCCCAGCTGCTTGTCTCTCCATCACGGGCTCGGCCGCAAATTAACAGCCCGCGTGTTCTGTTACGACGCCGCTGATATCATTACGTCTGCACGCCTGTCAGAGAGATAGATGGAGGAGAGGGAGAGGGAGAGAGGGGGTGGAGGGTCAGACCAGTGTGACAGGAATATAAAGAACCGAGGATCTACCTTTCATGGCCTTCTTTTTGATATCAGTTTCTCTTTATTTAAAGTCAGGATGTTCCCCTGATACATTGACCCCCCATACCCCCCCCCCCAAACATAATCAGACACTTAATGGGATAAATCACCCTAAAATGGAAATCTGTCACCATTTACAGAATGTTGTATGTTTCTTTTGTAGACCACGTACAATAATCTTCGAAATACCTTCTTATATGTTCAATTTAAAACTTTGACCTGAAAATAATGCATAAATATTATACTGTATATCATTAAGATACTATTATAGGTTTTATTCATATTTTCTTTTTAATTTTGTTTTAATTGTAGTAATTTTGTTGTTTTAGTCATTTTAAGTTTAAAAAACAAAATGTCTATATCATATTTTTTTTGTAGTTTTAGTTATTTTATTACATCATGTTAAGCTAAATGAAAATGAGAAATGAGAAATTTTGCCTTGACACCTAGCTGAATTTAAAGCTCTTTATATTTTATTTTATTTTATTTCAGTTAACTTTTAGTTTAACACACACACACACACACACACACACACATATATATATATATATAGTATATAAAACATGTTAGTATAGTTGCATTTTTTTGCATCATTCATATATTTACATTTTTACTTCATTAAAGTATCAATATATATATGTGTCATATTTGTACATTTTCATTTTAATTCAACTCAATACATTTTAATGTGGGAGGAACAATGAAACATTTAACTTTAGTTCATTAAAGTTTATTTTCTTTAGTGTATTAAAGTTGTTGTTTTTTAATCAAAACTATAGTTATGCCTTTATAGTAAAGAACGAACAAATATGCAAGCGCAGTAAGATTTCTGCTGCGGACTGTCATGTTATGAATCAGACTTTAAAAACCTGCGTTCGGAGTGACAGGGAGTGCAGATAGGCTCACCTGGATCAGTTGTAACACACTTTGGAGAGGCTTTTAAATGAAAATATGAAAGGTGAGAAAAGTGTCCATTGAAGCGTGAAGAGAGATAATGAATGTGGGATCCTCACAGTGCAGGGGAATGTGAATGTGATGGGATTTAGAGTCCAGTAACAGTCATTTCAACAAGAAAGGACAGCTGGAAAAACTTAATGGTCAATGATCTGCTTAATATGGAGGTTTTGAAATTCTTCATCAAGTCTGTGTGCACTCTCTTTTATATAACATTTGTTGGGCCATTTCAAAAGTATGATTAATGTGAACTTAATCAGATGTAGGGCACAAAGAGGTCTTATTTAGCACACTGCTCTGTATTTCATCATGAAAGTATTTGTAGAGACATAATCCCATTGGTGCAATGTAGGGAAGATCTCTGAACACACACACACATAAGATGTAGGAATAGAAATTGTATATGATTTAGGAAGATTAATTTTGACCTTGTTAGGGTTCATCGTTATTAATTGTGTGTGCATGTGCGTGTGTGTGTGTGCAGGTTTAATATACTTTGTAAAACCTTTGTAAAAAAAAAAGGATAGTAAAACATGAAATCACCATCTACATTTGAATTTACTTCACGACCGTTAAAAAGTCCGCTCTATAGTATAAATATGGGTAGTGTGAATGAAATTCAGACGTACTACGTCCGCCATGTTGTTACTGTCATGTGACCTGTCAGTTGTGTCGGTTTACTGCCATTCATAAATGTGTGATTGATTGATGTGTGACTGGGTTATTGTGAGCTTATGATACTGGGTCACATAACAATTCATACTTATCGACTTTCTCTAAGAACATTTTTGCATGCGAGTAAGTGTGTGTGTGTGTGAGTGTGGAAAAACTCATTCATATTTATCTCATTGCCTCACATTGTGTTGGTACACAAACTACACATCTGACTGCTGTCTAACTATTGACTAAGGATGGAATTTTACCTATAGATGTGTTTCAAAGTGTCTTCGGAGATTTTATGTGGGGAATAAATAACTTTAGCTAAATTAATGAATGATTCTGGTGAATGATTTCTCATTTGTTTCATTTTTTTTTTTTTTATTTTTTTTATTAATATTATTTTATTACATTTTTTTTTGCAAAAAGACTATATCCAAATAGAGAAAAAATGGATTTACCCATAGGCTGTACTGCTATAATTGATTTGTGACATTGCATTCTTAATAGTGCCTCATCCAATCAGATTTATAATGCATTACTCTTTTGAGATGTTTTGGCGTTTAATTGTATTATAGTTCTTTTAATTTTAGTATAATTGAGATATTATAGTTTTTATTAATAATTTGAATCAGTTTTTATTTTTATATTTTTCTGATTTAATTTTAGTTCAAGTTTTAGTAATTTTGATGTTTATTTTTTTTATACTTTAAAATGTCTATATCATTTTTTTGTTTTGTTATTTTAGTGCATTGGGTTAAACTGAATTAAAATGAGAAATGTTGTCTTGGCAACTAGCTGAAATAAAGTAAGTTTATTTTTTTTCTTTTCATTTCAGTTACATTTATTTTATGAAGAAAAAAAAACTGACAAAAAATGGTCAGACATTGCTTGTAAATTTCACAAATAATTACAAAGTAACATTGAATTAAACATTACATTTTAGTAGAAAGACTGAAATGGTGTTTTCTTGTAAAACGTAGTCAATTAATCCTACAGTTTCATTTAATTTGGTTCATTTGTTATGAATAATCTTATCTTTGGGTGCATCCATCAAATTCCCCCAAATAAGGAAATAATCAAATGAGATGAAGTGCCTTAAAATAAACAGCTTGATTATGTAATTTACTTGACTTATTATAATGAGTACATGTTTATGTGATTTATTGTAATTAAATATAAATGTATCTATTAATGGACAACACACATAAATATAATTTAACATATAAATATATATTTATGTGATATATACTGTAATATAAAAATATTTTTTATGTAAAATATTGTTCATATTGCACTGTCTGTCCTAACTGAACTAAGGCCTGATCCTGGCTTAGTGTAAACCCTGTCTGTGAAACCAGGCCAATGTTTTGTTTTTTATTAGGAGTGTGGCCCTTGAGCTTTCCAAAGTTGAATCGCTGCTCTAATGTTCTTGTGTGTGTGTGTGTGTGTGTTTCCAGATTATTTCTTGGAGCTGTTGAATCGTTCTGAAACATCACTCCAGACTTCCTTCCAGAGTGGGTTTGGACCTCTCTTCTCCCAAATCACAAAGGTGTTTCAGGACCTGTACTCAGACCTCCGGCGCTACTATCGAGGGTCCAACCTCAATCTCGAGGAGGCTCTGAATGAATTCTGGGCCCGTCTGCTGGAAAGACTCTTTAAAGCTTTAAACCCTCAGTACAGTATTGGAGAGGAGTATCTGGAGTGTGTAGCCAAGCAGTCAGAAACGCTGAAGCCCTTTGGAGACACTCCCAGAGAGATGAAGACCAAAGTCACACGCACGGTTATTGCAGCCAGAACATTCGCGCAGGGTCTGGTGATCAGCGGCGAAGCGGTCCGGAAGGTTTCACAGGTAACTTTCACTCTCTGTGTCTTCACCATAATCTAATGTTTTGTCCCGACCACCTTGATATAGAGACATTTTGTCTGTCACTTGTCTGCTTTTTCCAGTACTTTGCACTGAGTTGCCCAGTTTATATCATGATATCTCATCGGTCCACTTCACATACCGTATACACTGCCGTGAAAAGTTTGGGGTCCTTAGATTTTTTTGAAAATGTTTTTGAAAGAATTCTCTTTTGCTCAACAAGGCTGCATTTATTTGATACAAAATACAGTAAAAACAGTTAAGAGTGTGAAATACTGTATTATTACAATTTAAAATAACTGTTTTTTTATTTGAATATTTTTTCAAATGTAATTTATTCCTGTGATGCAAAGCTGAATTTTCAGCATCATTACTCCAGTCTTCAGTGTCACATGATCCTTCAGAAATCATTCTAATATGCTGATGTGCTGCTCAAGAAACATTTTTGATTATCATCAATGTTGAAAACAGTTCTGCTTAGTGTTTTAATGGAAACTGTGATAAAAAAAAAATTCAGGACCCCACTTTCTTTACTGTCACTTTTGATTAGTTTAATGTGCCGTTGCTGAAAAAAACACCTTTAAAAATGTCATAGGTCCCAAACTTTTGAACGGGAGTGTAGCTATATATTACAGGGATGGCAAACGATCCCTTTAACTACACTCCCGTTCAAAATTTAAATGATTACAGGTTTTATTTTATTTATTTAGCCTCACATGATTCATATATGCAGTTATTTCTTCTCTGGAACACACAATTAGAAATTACAGAAGAATCACCACACATCTCTTGCAATAAAACAAGCTTATAGTGAATGTCAACAATAAAAGTACCATAAAAGTATCATAAAAGTGATCCACTTGTGCACTATATTAACAGCATGCAGGTTTGAAACAGCATTGGGTTGAGTAAATAATTTAGCATTTTGCTGTGAACTATTCTTTTAAACATCAAATATGTTGGGGCTTGCTCTGATTTCTTCACTTTATGCTGTATTTCAGATTTCACGAAGGACAGACAAATATCTCGATACTGGAAACTTGTTGTTTCGCGCCTGGTTATAGATTTCAGAAAGATTTCCTTCTCAGTATTCATTGTATTCGTATTTTATACCTGTGACAATGCACAAACCCAATACCACCTACCGAGACACAAACAGACACAAACGCATGTTGAAGCATTGTGGGAAACCGCGTAGGATCAATGCATCAGGAAAACAAGACAAAATGAATATCCCTGAGGCTGTGGCAATCAGTGTACATATAAACACACCCACACACACAGACACACTGCAACAAAAGTATTGCATCTATCCAATTAATGCTGACATTAGACTCCAGCCTTTGCAGGTTCATCCAAACTGTACTTCGTTCCTTGTAAAGACCATTTATTGTTGTTTGAAATCATTGGAGGCAAAAGCCCATTTCCTTGCCCAATAAAAGTGCCTGTATATTCTGACATGTTAAAGTCAAGCATGTAAATGAAACCTAAAATGTACCGCAGACATAGCACATGGCCATATTATTGCACTATATTAGATTTCAGGGAGACAGTGTAGTGATAGATCAAACTAATGATTCTCATTCATTGATATTTTGCAGTTTACTCACCAGTTGGAGAGGAAACTGCAAGCTACTTATATTTTTAAAGTAGTTCAACAACAGTTGGTGATTATTTTTCTCAGATATATGACTGAATGAATTTATTTTTCATCCATATTTATGACACACAAACAATCATATGAGGATCAGCATTTGAAACGATTTATTAATAACAATTATTTATAAAACTACAAAACATAATTTTCTCATATATTATGCAATTAACAATGACCATCACACACCTGCAGGTAATAGACAGGTGTGTAGGAGAGAAGACCAAAAAAAGTAAAAAATCGGACAAACAAAAGGAAATCCCACACACTATCAATACTTGCGAAAAGTATCAAAAAATATTTATTAGCAATGTTTCGAAACGTTGCTAATACATTTTTTTTTATACTTTTTGCGAGTATTGATAGTGTGCGGGATTTTCTTTTGTTTTCTTGTATATTATGCAAAATAATATAAAAAATATAATTCAAAAGAGGCTGTTGACTAAATGTTTCATATAATAATAATAATAATAATAATAAAAAGTACAATAAATTGGTAATAGCTACATATTGTTATTATTATTATTTCTTTGTATTACTATTATTACATCGAACATTTAGTCATGAAAAGCATGATTTGATAAAATATATTATTTTGTATATATTTATTTATTAGGACTAGGTATTGACACAAATTTCACAAAGTCCATTCATCAACTGAAAACAGACTAAAAAATTGATTCTTGGGATTTAAGAATCGATATTGGTTCGTCACAATGAGAATCAATTAAAATCGAGAAATCAATATTTTTAACCCAGCCCTACAATATACTGTATGTACATAATACTATTCTATGTTTATTATTCTAATAAATATTATAATTTTTTTATCACTTCAAAATGATGTAAGATGTCCATTTGTGGTCTCAAATGACTCAAAAAAATGTTTTTTTTTTTAATGAAGTGAATCATTATCTCAAGAAAGTGATTCACTGTGAAGAATCAGAATTCTCAGTGCTTTATATGAGAGAGAATACACATTTAGTGTGTTTGATCAGTGTCATTCAGCGCACAACAGTGATATAGCGTTTTCTTACATTAGTTGTTGAAAAAGTATGTTTCTGTGAAAATATGTGCAGGAATTGAATTCTGGGTAAGGCCTTCTCATTCTCTCAACCCTTGAAACTTCTATTAGCAAGAAATACTTCACCCAAAAATAAACAATCTTATCATTATTTACTCACTGTCGTGTCGTTCCGAACCCGAGGCGTTCCAAACCGTGCTGAACCATGATTCAGACAGTTTCACATAGGGTTAAAAACATGTTACATTATCACTGATAAAGGATAGAAAGATCTATGATTTATTTTTATTGCTGTTGTCCACTTTGGTTTATCTGTTGTTTACTTCTCATTCTTTTCCTCCGCTTTTCTTTTCCTCTTCTCAATTCTCTTCTCTCCTGAAATCTAAATGAGTAGTGAAGGGAACCTAACTCTGTGTCTGACCTCTTCAAAGTAAGTCAAGGTTGACAACACAGAGAAACTGCCAGCACTGCATATTGAAAAGGGCAGTATGTGTGTGTGTGCGTGTGTGTGTGTGTGTGGCCTGGTAAACCCTACGTTATGGGGACAAAATGTCCCCACAAGGATGGCAATATCCGGAATCCTTGTTCGTGTGGGGACATTTTTTGGTCCCCATGAGGAAATCAGATTATAAATCATACTAAGTGATGTTGTTTGAAAATGTAAAAATGCAGAATGTTTCCTGTGATGGGTAGGTTTAGGGATAGGGTTAGTGTAAGGGAATAGAATATACAGTCTGTACAGTATAAAAATCATTATGTCTATGGAAAGTCCCCATAAAACATGAAAACACAACATGTGTGTGTGTGTGTGTGTGTGTGTGTGTGTGTGTGTGCGCGCGCTAAGGTGGGGAAATGATTGGTGTGGCAGTTCAGTTCCAGTCAGTTTTGTCTGACCAAGAGATGTTTTTTAACCCCAGCATGTAAGAGGGAAATTACGCAGAGAAGAAACTCCCAGAATGCACTGCACATCACACACATATTCAATTACATTTTGCACGGTGACTAAATAATGTATATTGTTAGCCATAACGCACAAGCGTCAATCCCATTGGCTGGCGCTTACCTGTCACACTTCACGTTTTGATTGCAGCAAATCAGTTTCAACAACTTGATTAATATTCATGAGCCCAGCAGCCTGTCAGACATTAGCACGTGTTATATTGTTATTAGAAGTAGTATTGGTTTTTATTGTTAGTAATTTTTTACAGAAACTTGAAGTTACCAATTATGTTTCGAGCACCACCACCAGCCAGAAATTCTCAAATTTCTGTTTAATATGACAAATAAGCATTCATACATTTTCATTCATACATAGCCTAGTTAGAACTTTAGTAATTAGAACTAAAACGTGGCGTCATAATAACGCTTGATTGGCTGATGTTTCATTCAAATTGTAGTTGTTATTCTTTCAAAATGCATCAGGCATCTTTGTAAAAAAAAAAAAAAAAAAAAAAAAATTATCAAAACTGTGTGAAGAGAGGCTGATTGGGATGGGGAATTATTTGATTATGAATATATGCTTGTGTCAAAAGTCTGACAAGTTCTAAAAATGTACTAGCCAATGGCCATTATTATTTAAAAAAATGACCTAATATTTGGATGTGTATGTAAGTATTTTATGTTTATTAGAGTATTATGTTGTTAGCTTAGCAACATGCTAATGTCAAACTTGCGCTTCCACTATGCAGTGTTGCTGCCTGTGTAGGATTTCCCAAATCTAGCCAGTTGCCTATGCAGGGAGCATACAGCAAGACAAACAACTAAATGTTTTGGAATAAAACTATTTTGTGTGCATGCGCCAAAGGGAGTTGAGCGTCCTACTTTTGCTTTGTTCTTTTCTTCTGAGGTTTGGTTAAACAAACTGTCTTATCTTTTGCTTTCTGTGTATCTTATCCAACTCAATCTGGAAGTGATTGTTTTGCAATAAAACTAGCGTCCCTGTTTCTTTTATATTATAAAGTTGATCTCCAGTAGTGCCCTCTTTCCCTTATGCCTCCATGCCATTTCTGTTCAATAATGCGTCATTCTATTCTGTTATACTCTTTCATAATAGCGTTCATTATGTGCAGCAATTCTCTTAATGGATTGTTTTGGCTTCAATAAAAGTTAAGCTCTATAAACAGCATTTGTGGCATAATGTCGATAACCACAGAAATGAATTTAGACTCATCCCTCAGTTTTTCTTTTAAGCAATAATCGCAGTTATAATGACATACTTACAATGGAAGTAAACCAGGCCAACATTCCAAAGGCTTTAAACGAAGAAATGTGAAGCCCATAAATTATTCAGTAAAACCCTTATCAATT